CTGCTGTTAATCATTTGTAACTTTCTCACCTTAATAATCAAACCAGACTTGGGCAAGACTTTTCTCCACCCGTTCCCATTAAATAAATAAATCAATAAAACATAGTTGACAGCCATTGACGTCAATGGCTTTCCTCCTTACGATTGCTGTTGAGGGCGTTCAAAGAGTTAGTTATTTTACTCAGCGTATTTGCTTATGTAAAGCTGTCGTTAATTCAGCTCAGATTGGACTAGACAGCCTTTGTCAAGCCCCGGAATTCTTCATTTTGGTCTTCTTCCAATGTTTTCGAAGCTCCTTTTCCATTCCAAATGGTCCATAAAGACACGCTTGGATTAGTCTAGCTAAGAAAAAGCCCATCAGACACCTCTGGGATGAGCAAGAAGCGCAACGTTGGTAAGCTAACGGGACTTCATTTGAGAATGTCTTCCAAGAATACGGGAAGCCATTTTGGCTGCCAATTTTCTTGCAGTTTCCTGTGGCCCCGTGTCCCAATACTTCTGCCCATGTTGTGTATTGGACCAAAAAAAAAAAAAAAGCACTCGATATCTCCTTTGCCAGTGATGCGTCCGTATGTTTTCCTCACAAAAAAAAAAAAAAAAAAATGGACAATTTGTGACATGATTTGAGACTATTCTATTTGCCTGGCCGCTTTGTTTATTGTGGTCTTGAGTTTGTTTTTTTTGTTTTTTGTTTTTTTTTTTTACAGCAAGCTGCCGCAACTGTGCCGCAGCGATAAGAACCGCGGTGCAGCACTGGGACTACAACAAGCAGTTGGAGGCAGCCGCTGAAAGACATAAAGGGCAATAAGGCAGAGAGAAGCTCTGAACTGAAACTGTCCCTTTGGCCTGTCCGCTATGTTAGCCGTATAGCGTTTATCGCGCTACTCTTAGCCCGCCGACCTCTTGCCGGTTTTACTTTCTCGTTTCATGGTGGTGTTATGTGAGGACAAAATACAACCGCGATGACTACTTTTTGTCGGCGACACACAGGAAAACAACTCCCTTTTCGTTCTTCACACTCTGTTGATGCTTCAGTGGCACAAACTAATTTGTGATTAAACCTCGCGACTGAAATGCTATCGCTAGGACTGTTTTCCTTCATCACGTCACGTTTCCCAGGCCACTTGTTGCTATGTTATTGGAGACACACAAGGGGCCCGATCCATAAGCATCAACAAAAATTGCTTTTTATTTTTGTTTTGTTTTGTTGTTTTTTTTTTTTTTTTTGGTTGGTGAGGGTTTAACTTTCTGACATTTTATCCCATACAGTTGAACCTCGTTTCAACGTACCCCGTTTACATTTTCACCCCTGTGAGGTTTCAAAGTCCCGATTTCACGTAATTCATTTTCCATTTGCCGATTTAGCTTACAATGAACCCCTTTATAACTTCATTCTAGCGACCGAGAATTTTTTTTTTCCTCATAAAAATAGTGAAAACGCCTTCGTTACAACAAAATGTAGGAAGCTAACATTTCATCAAGATCCGTTGCCTTGCAAGCGCCGGCGATATCCTCGGCGTCACTTCAAATTTGGTGGTGGATGCGTTCCTTCTAATGGTGACATCTTAACCCATTTCCAACAATGTTTTGGTGCATTTCCTCCGCAGAGCAGCTGGTGTGTGGCCATTGAAGCCACACTGGCAATGCGAGGGGAATCAGTCACTAACACTGTGGCACTTTTTTACCCCTGAAGTTATTGCGGCGGATGATGGCACAGAAGTGCAGTCATGTCAGGGTTGCAAGCGATGCAAGCATCGGCGTTTTTTGTTGTATTTTTTTACCCCCGGCATGCAACCCCTCCGCCGCCGCCATTGCTTGCCTCCAGCATTGGCTAGTTTGCCCAAAGCAAGGGCAAGATAATAAGACTGCGAGCAGACATGTTGTCAATATTTTTGTCTTGGCTCAAGAGTGTGCCTGGCCAGGTGTTTACAGATGTAAGTGTTGACTGATTCATTTATTTATTTTTATCCCCCGCAGGAGCTTGCCGGGTTTTTTTTTTTTTCACCTTGCAAGAGGGCAAGTAGAGGCAAGTAAGTGTACACGGTCCAGAGAGGTTCCTCACTAATGTGAAGCAGTTCATTAAAATCAAGACACAAAGCTTCTATCAGCGGGGAGGATGCTTCTAATCAGTGCCTGTGGTTAGTCCGCCACTGTGCAAAACGGAGAGGGTGCACTCCTCAAGTGCAATCTTGTAGAGTGGACGGTTGGTTGCTGCAAACAAGGCCATGCGGATGATTGGTTTTCCAGGGGGATGCTTTGGGGACTGCTCTTGGGTCTGCCATCTGATTAGCATCGGCAGCATTATTCATGTCATGAATAGACAAAGACGCACGGGACAAATAAAAGGCCAAGGCGCATCCAGGAAGCCGCAAAATATCACATGGACGCATGCGGGGTTTTGGATTTGAACATTTCAACATTTCAAGATCGATGTGTTCTCGCCCTAGGCGATGATGGTTAATTTCGGGTTCAAACAGCTCGAGTGGCCACATGATGAAACCCAAGGTTCTTTGGCAAACATGAGATTTGCTTGCCCGTTCTCCCTCGTCCTGTATAATGGCATGATTCATGTGCACGCATTGTTTATTCAGTTCCCTAAAAAATAAACACAACTTTTAATATGGGTCCATTTATACAACATACAAATTCTGGTTAAATAAATTGAGTGGGTTCTTTGTAGTTCTTTGGACATGGTCTTGCTGTATCTTTCCATGGCGGTGCCCTAACAGAATGTAGCCTTCCTCACTCATTCATGTATGAGGATGAATAGCATTACTAAAGCAAGTTACCTTTATCTTCCAAGATATCATCTTAACACCAACAAAGACACTACAATATAGTTCAATTTTTATCTGTGTAAAAACTTCAAATGAATCCCATTGTACTCACCAGATGCTAAGAGGCTGCTGCCCTTCTGTGTATGCTAACCCTACCACCTTGAAAGGCATTCAGGAGTCTTGATTGGCTAAATTTCAAATGGTGTGTGTGGAACTTGCATATTTAATGTCTATGACCGTGTGCTAACATCACCAAATTAAATCAATATTGTTTCAAAAAAAATAAATCAATCACAAACTTATTAAAATATTTACTTAGCAGTGACATTCCAACAATGCACATTGCACAAACGCATGGACATGTTTTTTTTAAATAAAGGCAGCAGTCCTCAATTTTTTTAGTGCCACTGGCCATTTTCATGTCAAGACAAGTTGTCAAGGATCAAAATAAAACCAAATAATAATTCAGAATATCCCTTCACATTAGCAACGCTTCAGTGAGCCGTGGCCGTTTGGCATATTCCAACAAGTATTATGACAGTAACGACAGTGAAGACGTGTTTGTTATTCGATGATGAATAAAGTTGTTAATCTGGTGATGAAGCTTTACTTTCCATCAATGTTATTGTTCCTCAGCGCTGATATGGATCTATTGAAAGCTAGCGGCGATCAGGGTTAGCCTCAAGTAGTTAGCGACTAACATTGGACTCCTCTGCTAGCTTCCACTGCCCATTAGTGAACAGTGAGGCATGACTTCACAAGAGCCACCGGCAAAAGAACGGCAAATCTGTTGTGTGTTGTCAAGCATACAATCAAAGTTATTTTGCTCATTTTCAACCTGTGTGAACAATGCGGCCCTTTTTTTAATGATATCCAGAACAATCCGTTTTATGAGCATAACGAGGTAGCGTTCAGTGATTTCTGTGGACAATCTGTAACAGTTGACAGCTCTGTGATGCCTAACAAGATTTTTTAATGTTGAGGGAAGCTTCATTGCAGATTTCATGAGAGAGTTCCAGAGTTGCGAGGCTAACGGGCATTAGATCATTGCACGAGTATAGGAATGGAAGTGTTAGGTAAGGTGAGGGCAAGGTATGCTGATAGAAGAGTTCTGGACTAATTTGAGCCTCTCCAATGTTTCTGCGCCAAAGTCAGCGAGTGATGGGCAAGGTCTGGAAAGGATATTTGGGTTTTAAGGTCTTGTTGATGGTCGCCATACAAGTGTAGAGTCAATCTGTGTTGGGTGATACTCCAGCAAAGCAATATCATGTAGATTGTGAAGAGGAGGGGTCCAGGTTCAGAGCCTGGTGGTATGCCTTGGTTGACTCGAGCTGGAGTAGCTCTGGAGCTGACAAACTGTTGTTCGGTTAATAAGCATCAGGCGATGATTGAATGGAAGATTAGGTCAAGGGGAATTAGGATACCCAGGTCTGGTTTTGGTGCCCTGCCAGAGTGGTGGAATTTGTGATTTGGCCCAAAGACCCAGAGGACCAAGTCCATCAAATTCTAGATCCATGGTGATGGAAGCCACTGTAATCAAAAGCTACACTGAATCAAATCAAAAGCACCTGGGTTCAGACATCGAGCGAATTACGCGATATGTGTATACGTGTATTCTTCTTTGCCTCGAGCTTTATTAGCCGAAAGTCTTCAGCTGTTGCCTGTCAATCATTATGTTCGGTGCTTCTTGGACTCATGATCATCGGCAACCCTGAGAGTTGAAAGTAACTTGTCGATAGTCGCAAGGGTTCCTTCAATCCACCGCACCAAATAGAGAAATCAGTCAGCGATGTTTAATTGAATTTCCATCAGTGCTCAATCTGTCTTTGAAATTGCTTATCTAAGATAATGCCCTCGCGGGTTCATTAGCTCATTGTCAAATAGGATTTCTTTTTCATCCCTCGGGCAGATTGAAAAATGATTACAGAGCACCAAACGAAGGCTCCCAAGTTTCGTCAAATCCGGGTTTGGGACAGCAACATCGATCTCGAAGGGGTGGAAAGTAAGTAGCGAAAAAGTTCTTCATATATCTTAGTCGACTTGCGCTTTTCTGAATTTTTTTCCTTGTCATTCCGCTTCTATTTACTTTCCCTGGATTTCCTCTCCTCTCTCTCTCTGGCCTCCTCTTCCTTCCGTTCTTTTCTCCTCCTCTTCTCCTCTTTGCGCTCCTCTTCCCTCCTCGCCCGTTCTCTCTTCTCCTGCTCGATCCGCTCCACCTCCCGCCTCACCCGCTCTCGCCTCTCCTCCTTGTCTTTCTTGGTGAGGCGGCTAATCATTTTTTCAAAGTAGCTCTCCCTTCTCTCGCCTTCTTTTCCCGACACCTCTGTGGCGAGCCCCTCCGGTTCCTTTCTATCCTCCGCCAACCCGCCGCTCATGTTCTCTCCGCCGTCACTCCTCTCTTCCTTGACGCCGTCTTTCAGCTCCTCATCCACGGAGGTCCCCTGCTTCACTTCTTCCTCCGCCGCGTCACTCGCCACGGGCTGAGTAGCGCTCGCTTCGTCAACTCCCGTGGCGCTCTCTTTCTCCTCTTCCTCCTTCGCGTCACTCCCTTTGCCCTCCAGACTCTCTTCCATCTTGTCACCTTCTTCCTTCGCCTGGTCCTTCCTGTCACTCCCTTCATCCACCTTCTCACTCTCTTGCGCAACATCTTTGGCACTCTCTTCCTCCGCCTCCTGCTTTTGGTCACTCTCTTCGCCCGCTTTCGCCGCCGTGTCATCTTGCCCCTCGACAAAACTCTGGCCGTCCTCTTTGACACTCTCTTCCTTTGTCTCTTCCTTTTGGTCTCTCTCTTCCACGTTAGCACTCTCTTCCACCTCAACTTCCCCCTTAGCATCCTCGGCCACTTCCTTCTCACTCTCCCCGACGTCACTCTCTGCCTCGGCTCGCTTGGCACCTTCCTCGCTCTCTTTGGCGACGCCCGAAGCGCTTTCTTCCTCGTCGCCCTCTTTCGCGTCACTCTCTTTCCCCTCGGTGACACGCTCCTCGTCTACCTCGACACTCTCTTCCTCACCCGCCTCACTCTCTTTCGCATCACCCGCGACGCTTTCCTCCCCTTCAGCCTTCTCGGCGACACTCCCCTCGCCTGCCGCGGAGCTCTCTTCCACCCCGTCTCTGGTCTCCTCCGTGACACTGCCCCCTTCTTCCTTTGCACTCTCTTTCTCACCCTGCTCACTCTCTTTCCTGTCTTCCTCCACATCCGCTTTGCTGTCACTCTCTTTTCCCTCTGCGACACTCCCCTCCCCTGCCTCGGCACTCTCTTCGCGACCCTCCTGTGTTGCGGCACCCTCTTGTCCGCCATTTGTAACATTTGCGTCGTCTTTCTCCCCCTCTTCCACCTGAGCACTCTCTTCACCCCCCTGCTCCTTCGGCTCACTCTCTTCACCCCCCTGCTCCTTCGGCTCACTCTCTTCACCCCCCTCCTCTTTAGGTTCACTCTCTTCCCTCTCCTGCCCCTCACCGAGGCTTTCCTCTGCCTCCGTCTTGTCACCCTGCGTGCCCTCCTCCACTTTGGCAAGGTCTTCTTCACCCTCCTGGTTCGTCTCCTCACCCCGGCTTTCATTTTCTTTCGGCTCCTCCTCGGCACCCGCTTCCCCCGCCTCCCCTTCAGCCGCTTTGCCGTCGTTATTGTCTTGATCATCTTCTCGCCTTTCCTTTTGGTCACTATTTTCCACTTCACCTTTTGACTCATCCACTTCCTCTGCCGCCTTTTCATCTGGGTCACCCTCATCTCCTTCAACGCCTTCCTCCCCGTCGTCCTCTTGATCTTCCTCCTCCGCTTCCTCTTGGTCATCCTCTTCTTCCCCGTCTTCTTCCTGATCCCCTTCCTCCCGGTCACCCTCTTCGTCTCCCTCCTCCTCCTGCCCGTCCTCTCCCTCGCCCTCCTGGTAATCCTCCACCTCGTCGTCGTCGCAGTCTTCCCACTCGTCGTCGTCGCAGTCTTCCCACTCTCCATCCTCACCTTCGTCGTCCTGCTCTCCTTCATTCGCTGCCTCCTCATCGCCCTCCTCGTCATCGTCGCCCTCCTCGTCATTGAAAGATATTTTCAAGTCAGCGCTCTCTTCTTCCTTATCGGTCTCTTCGTCCCCGCAACTCTCCTCTAACTCCTCGCCACTCTCTTGCACTCCCTCAGCGCCCACCTCCATGTCTCCTTCGTCTTTCTCCCCTTCCTCCTCAACATTCCCCCCTTGCTTGTCCTCTTCAGAACCGGCCTCGCACTTGCTGCTGTCGCTCGCTTCTAGCTTGTCATCACCTCCTTCCCTCGCTTTCTCCTGCTGCCTGATTCGCTCGTTTTCCTCATCGTTGGTTCTGTTGTCCCCTTGTTTGAGCTTCGCCCATTCCTCCATCGCTCTGACGGCAATTTCCTGAAGGGACAGTAGAGAGTCAGGCACTTTACCTGTCGTGGTTGACAGAGAATCTCAAACATCGTGGATAGAAAATGTTTACAACCACCTGTTCAGTGAATCATTCATCTGGCCTACAACCTGCAGAACTCAATTTTTTTTTTTTTTTGAAAGATATTTTCAAGAGGGAAGGGAAAATAACTAAGATGCGGTTGCACATGTTTGCACTCTCGTAACTGGGATGTGGGTGTGTTCCGATTCGCCATTCACATTCAAACTCATGTTAATTGATAGTCAACACACCGGCCACCATTTTAAGTGCCTCCGACTAACCCCAAAATAAGGTACATCTCTTTGAGTTTCCTTTATTAGGATTATTATTTTGTCAGAAGCCTGAAGAATTTGTGCTAACACTAATTGGTATTTGGAACTGTTCATAAACTGCCTCCACCATGACTCACCGGAGGAATGGTGTTCTTTTGATAATTCGCATTGTTTACACACCAAAAGTGCCTTGAGTTCATCGGACCATTTTCCTCACATCGGCGAGATATAAAGTGTGTTTTATTTCCTTAAATTAGGGTTCATCTCGCCACTGTGAACGCCAGACAGTTGTGTCACATGTACTGAGCAGCCAGTACTTGCCAGAAATTCCTTCAGTTCCTTCAACGATGCTGTCGACCTCTTTGCAGCCTCACTGGCCAGATTTTTGTCTCGTCTTTTCTTCAGTTTTGATGGGACATCCAGTTCTTGGTCACTTCACTGTTGTGCTATAACTCGATGTCTTTACTGTGCTCCATGCTATATTTAATGGAAATTATTTTGTACCCAGCTCCTGGCTGATACTTTTGAACAATCTCGCTCATGCTGTGGAAGTGCTCTGCACACCTCAAGGCTTATGCTGTAAAATGTGACTCCCAAAAAATGTCAGTAAAAGCCCAGTCGAAAATGTGAACATTATTTGGGGTTAATTGGAGGCACTTAAAATGCCGGCAGGCGTGTGCTGAATCCCATTTAATATGAGTTTGAATGAGAGAGGTTAATTCTCGCTCTAGTCTTTTTTTTCTTCTTTGTTTTTGTCGCTATGACTCGTATAGGTTACTTAAGAGTGGAAAACATTGTGAAATTATTCATCTTGAGCTAATCTATTTTCATTTTAAAGATCCCGCCCCCACACCTTTTTTTGTTTTTAACCATGTTTGATGTCCTTTTATTATGTTTGCAAGATAAATTGTCTTGGAAATACCCAGGATGCCCTTTACAAGCAGTTATTCCAAAACGCTTGGCAGATGAGAGGGATGGCTTTCTCATTAATAATCAATATGTAAATAAGCCTAACTCTGATTGGAGTCCCATTCTCATTAATTTGAATATGGAAAACACATTTGCTCTGATTGATAGAACGCTGCATCTCTGTGTTGTGGTGGCCAAGCGTTCATTGTTTTATTAGCTTTACATTAGATGCGGCCGTGTCGTTGCAGACTTTTTTTGTTTTTTTTTTTACTTGACTGGGTGTTTCCATTAAGTGGGCGGGTACTTGAATACCTCAAACTGATTGGACCGTTTTGCATTTGCATTTTCAACAGCGAGTGCATACCAACAACAAACTGCATAGACCAATTTTTTTGCACAAAAAAAGGATTTTGATGGCATGGGACCTGTACTCTTAAGTACATTAAATAAGAATGCTGTGCTAAAAGTACACATACCACGCGTAGGATCAGGTGCTCAAACTGCTTGATATGGTCAAGAAACTCTTGTCGTTCTTTCAGCAGTTTATCTTTCTCTCGTTTCCAGCTCACCTCCTTTTCAGACATTTCCAATGAGAGAGAGTCTTTGGATGCTTTTAATTTCTCGAGCTCTAAGCTGGTTTTGTACAGTTCGGCCTTGGTTTTCAAGAACATCCTTTCATTGGCCTGCATCCGGTGAGACAGCTCGGCTTTTTCCATCACCAGTATTCGATTGTCCGCCTCCAGATATCTGACTTGGGAGGCGATGCTTTTCTCCCGTTTAACCCAGCGAGTTTGCCACACTTCGTTGAGTTGCACTTGGTATTGCTTCAGATCTAAATTGCACTTGTGTAAGTCGGCGTTGGTTTTCAGTAAAATCCTCTCATTGGCCTCGCGCGTGTTGTATAGTTTGGCATATTCTTCTAACAATTTGATGTAGTCCAACTCCAGGTGCCTCAGGTAGGATGCTACGGTCTCCTCCCTATTCAGCCACTGGGTTTGCCACTCTTCATTGAGCTGGTTGTAGAAATGCTTGAGCTCTTCAAAACACTCAGTCCCCTTAGTCCACAGCTGTCGAAACTTCTCAGTCTGATACTGTAGTAGTTGCACATTTTGCTTTAGGGAGTAATTGTCCGTGGAATCCATTTTCCTCTCCATTTGGTTGGTTCGCTGGCACACTGCTAATAGTCCCCACTTAATTTAAGTTTTGGTTAAGATCCTGGCAGTTGCGGCTCTAGTACATGGTCGTATGACTACGATGATTTGTGGCAATGATATCGGCAGGGCAAAATGACTCTAGCCCACAGTCATGTTTAGCCATGATGACACCCAGAAAAGGGGATATTGCTCTAAATCATAGTCATATGGCTAATAGGCTTTGTGATGACATCATCCTGATGACATCCAGGTTTAATGGCTTGACCCAATGGTCACCTGACTCCTGTACTGTGCTGTATTTGTTTTATTGCTTGAGCAATGTTTCTACATGGAGCAATGGCGACACCTACTGGATCCTTGTTTGATATACAGTATATTTTTTTTATAGTGTGAGAGAGTACTATTGAGCAAATGCCATAAATTCACAATGAATCAACTCCTAGACGTTCAATAACGCCGAATTGAGTGGAAGACGTAAACCCATGTCCCCATGGAGGAATTTATGATTTACCGTGGGAGATGTTCAGAATTTAAACGAGGTCAAGCTTAAACTGCTACGTTTGTGGACGGCGCTCCGTTTTTAGAGCCTTGTTTGTGGACGAGATCTCGTTTTTAACCGCGCTTTTGACAGTGAAATGAACGCCAGGATCTTGTTCCTATACTCTCTAAAGCAGTGTCGAAGCGGAGAGTTTAAGGTAACTTTATGCCATAACATTTTGTGGGGCGTTTAAACTCATATTCCATCGAAGGCATCGCGGAAGCCTTGTGCAATGAGCAGATCGCCCAATTGTCCAATGGCGGAAGACAACAGAGCTGATGTGACCAAATGCTGCGCGTTCATTGGATAACCCGTCGAAGACGTCATGAAACACTCCTCAGTGATTGGTTACTGTCTGGTTATAGCACAGCGCTGTACCTTGAATGTTGTTCCTGTCCTGAGTTGGGAAACCCACGCCAGGTACAGTGTATTTATGGAATAACTAATATTTAATGTTACTAAATTATTAATTCGAGCTCTTGTCATACTTGTGCTTGTGTAACGTGTTCTTTATCGTAATGGGACAAAGTAGAAGATTGTTAATGTTTTCTGAAGCATTGTCATCATGTTTTACAAATACTCAAAATATTAAAATAATTGTGTGTGTTATTTCGATACAAATATTTAGTACATGTGTTAAATAAGCTTGGTTTGATAACGTAATCCTACAGCCTAACGCTTTTGAATGATAAAAATAGAATAGGTTTTAGCTGTTAGTGTAACTGATTTTTATTTGATCAATGAGGTGCTTCACATAAAATTAAATCCACCGTCACAGACAGAGGTGGCCGATTACTCAAAGTTGATACTTGAGGTTTGAAAAGATTAGAAATGATGATTACGTTCCTGTTCTTAAGTAAAAGTTAAAGACTCTGCGATGTACCTACGGTAAGTACAATGGTTTTCTTTTATTTACTGTCAGTTATATAGAACATCAGTTTAATAGTTAGGGTTAATACTAGATACCCACCACTGCATTTAAACATGAACTGTACTTTTACTGTTCATAAACATTTGTAAATACAGGCTCAGCCATGGATCTCGTGTTAAACGTGGCCGACCACTACTTCTTCACGCCGTACGTGTACCCGGCTTCGTGGGCAGAGGATGGCGCCCTGCGGCAGATCCTGAGCCTGCTGGTGGTGACCAACCTCGGGGCGGTGGTCCTCTATTTGGGCCTGGGGGCCCTCAGCTACTACTTCATCTTTGACCATAACCTCATGAAACATCCCCACTTCTTGGAGGTAATTACATCCTAACTTGTTTTTTATCTGATTTGGAAGGGGACCAAGGCCGCTGAGAAATGTGCCTGTTGATATATTATTATTATCATTATTATCTGATTGGCTGGTAGCTATACTTGAAGACCCTGGATAAGGTTCAAACCCTTTCGGAACAGTTTGTCACTAAGATGGTGGTTGACATTTTTTGTACAGCCAGTTACCTTGGAGTAAAATATTAGCTTTAGGTAATTCTAGACTGGACTTCTCGCAGTATAATGGTGGTTTGTCAGTGGGATAATATCGCGCTTGGGAACATACCCAAACCTTCCTTACTCAGGTACAAACAGTTCAGTGAGTAGCCCTCAGGTTCTGCTTTTGTACCCTTCATAGTTGCTGGTGTCAAATGATTGACTTTTATGGACAGAAATTGACACCCACGAAGGTCCATTTCTGATTCTGCACTGTGTCTACGGTGATGATTAAGTACTGCTCGCTTTATAGACATTTCACATTTAAGTTAAAACGGAAATGAACTATTTCCTCCCCCAGAATCAGGTTCGCAGGGAGATCAAATACGCACTGACCTCTCTGCCATGGATCAGCATCCCCACCGTCGCCTTGTTCTTCGCCGAAGTTCGAGGATACAGCAAAGTGTACGACAATGTCCACGACTCTCCGTTGGGTGTGTTCATATTTTGCCCTCCGGGTTCAATCTCTTGATGTCCACCGACACTGACAGCTCTTGTGCCCGTGCAGGTTGGACTGGGCTCTTCCTGAGTATGATCTCTTTCCTGCTTTTCACTGACATGTGCATTTACTGGATTCATCGCTTCTTACATCATAAGCTGATTTATAAGGTGAGGATAATTGCAGCCGCTCCCACTTACCAGTTTTGACGAATAATAGTGCCAAGTTTGATGCTCAGAAATGTTGCAGTGTTGCAAGGGATTGGCATGACAGATTTGTAATGAAAGCATAATGTATGTATTTCACCAGATGGGGGCGCAGTTCATTTTTCCTCAAGGCGGAAGCTGCATAGATAATCAGCAGTTAGCAAATGTGCACCGATCGAGAACATGGCTTCAACTGTCCATCTTAAGTGATTAAATATTTTAACGAATGCCAAAATTGAGGGGGTAATGCTAATGTTTGCGATGATGTATGAATCAGTTCACGCCCATGTGAGTTGTGTGTTTTTAAACCAGGCCGGCCATAAATCTGCAGAGCGTGTCAAAGCTCTTTTGTGTGAACCCGCCACTTTTCACGGAACTTTAGAAATCCTGACATGAAACCGTTTTGCTGACTTGTCTTGAGCACAGCTCTTTCACAAGCCACATCATGTGTGGAAGATCCCCACGCCATTCGCCAGCCACGCCTTCCACCCGGTTGACGGCTTCATGCAGGGGCTCCCCTACCACATCTACCCGTTCCTCTTCCCGCTCCACAAGGTGCTCTACTTGGTCCTCTACGTCTTTGTCAACATCTGGACCATCTCCATCCACGACGGCGACTACCGCGTCCCCAGTGCCATGACGGGTCTCATCAATGGCTCGGCGCATCACACCGACCACCACCTTTTCTTCGACTACAACTACGGCCAGTACTTCACGCTGTGGGACCGCCTGGGGGGCTCCTACCGACACCCTTCAGCCCTCATGGGAAAGGGTCCCCACGACCTGATCCGCAGGCTTCGAGCAGAGGGAAAGTTAGACAGCGGCAAAGTAAATGGACAGAGTGGCATCTCGCGCAAAGAGGAGTAGCAATTGCTTTTTCTGAAGACAATCACAAGAGACAATCAGTAATCCTCTGGAAACCATACAATCATTAAGTTTGCACTTGCTAAATAGGGAGTTGCTGAGCGCGATGTGACCAGTTGTGACTTGGGCTGTTCAGTACCACAGCTTTTTTTCAGGCCGATACAAGTATTCACTCAATGATACCGAGTTCTGATACTTTTAGTTCTTTTGATATATAAAATTTCATTTAGCACAATGACAAAAAAAATTATGAACAAAGACCTTTCTGACACGTGATGATTCACCAATGTAGCAAATTACCGCACCGACTACTACCAAGGAAGACTTTTTCAATGTCAGATTGGGTTTTTTTTAATGCCTGAAGTGTCAGTGGCTAGTATCGACAGCCTCCAGCAGTACCTTATGTCTTGAAATCAGGTCGGCAACGGGCCAAAACTGATACCTAGTGTCCTCTCCCATTCTTATTGTTACCGTTTTGAAGTGGATTTTGGCATAGGAAACAGAACCGAGCAGACGGCAATTTTAATCCTTATGTTATGAAGATGTACTGTGCAAAAGTTTTAGCCCACCACGAGCTGTTCACATGACATCACTGTACAAAGGCTTCAGTTATGCCAGGATGACGCCAAAAACACATTTTAAAACACTGCATTTAGCCTCGTATGACAGACATGTCCACCCGATGTTATGTCATTCGATGAAACTATTATCAGCAGAATGAGTTAAAAAGACTGCATTTTCTTTTCATAAGGTTATTCTTGGCGGAGGTCACTGCTCTTTGTGGTCCTTATAACATTGCAAAAACAACTCTGATGGTGGGCTGAGACGTTTGAACATAATTAATAATAAAAACAAAACAGGCACTTTAGTCCATGTGGTTTATGTTTTGTACTTTAAACGCAATCCAGAAAAAACAAAGTCACACAGCGGCAGCGACTACGTGTGATCAAGTGCACAACAACCAAAAGAGCAGGTGATGGTGCAGCATTAAATCTCAGCAGAAAAACACGGGTGCCCAAAGGAAGGATCGCATGGCCGCTCCCGCCGCCATGCCTGCCAGTAGTCCCATGGCCAGGTGGTCAAACACCCCGTCGAAAGGATCCCTCTGAACAATCACCTGATGGGTGCCTGAGGAGGAAACGGCGATGATAATTGTGTTCATTGGCAAAACTCTGACATTTGATGCTGCATTTCAAGACTGCTTGGAAGTGGGGGGAACTGGAACTTCTGAGGTCTAACCTCAAAGCGTAGTACTAAGTACTAAGTAAGCAGCACGGTTCGAGACCTTGAGGGGTGTGAAAAAGCTCGTCTCAGTCGATGTATCAGTTCAACATACTTCCTTGACACTTTGCCAAGATCCATCAACTAAAATCTCTTGATCTCTTAAGTTCTGACTCTGAACTCATTCAACAGAGGAGACTGTACCTGATCCTGCTCCAGACGTCACATAGATTGTGTGATAGTGGTTGAGCGGTATGGCCTGATAGGAATCATCGTAGGGATTGTAAATGAACGCCTGTGGGTGAGAAAACGCAGTCTCAGGATTATTTTATACGCCCCACTCAAAAAAAAAATAACATGGATCTTACCGGGTTCCTCCTGGTCTCCAGCATGGTCAGTTTCCATGCGCTGAAAGAAGGGAACAGAAACGGGAACACATAATGAACCCTGATGGTGACTTCGCATTGCACTGTTTTCATTCTTCCTCATATTTGGAGCTTCTTGCTGTCCTGTTCAATGACCATTTTGTTGATCTAACATTGCAGAGCCACCACATCCGTCAGTCTAATGGGACGCTAATCGGTGACTGTGGCAGGAACAGGAAGAGTGAGTCTTATGGAACGGTAATTGGCCTTGTCGGCTACCGAGGAACGAGAACCAGAGAAATGTGCGATTCAGTCAGTCTAGCGCAATGCTAACATTTAAAGGGAACTCGCGTTAAGAGTCCACACTGTAAATCCATCGAAGCGAGTTGCTGCTGTTTTGATGAGCAACACAGTTCAAATGAGCAGAGAACTGAGAGGCCTGAAACGTTATTAGATGCGGGTATTGAAAAAGTGGGGGGGTTGCAAAACCCCTACCCCCTATGTGTACAACTCACTAATAATCAATTTGACTAATCGAGCTTTTCTAGATATGAAAAGAAACTGCTAACAACTGGAATCGTAACATTTGTCTTGATAATGTCTCGTGAGTGAAGACATTTCAGTTTCAGAAGTAAAAACGTGCACCCCCCACTTTCTCGGATTTGTGAACCGATCACAATCTTCTTTAAAAAGTGTCATCTTATTACCATATGTATGTACCGTACAAAGCATGGACACCCCTGATCTCAGGGAACTACAGTTAATACATGTTTTCTCTATTTTAGAGAAAGTTTGCTTGTGTTTCGCTAGGTGCTGCTGCTTTGGTTACCAACAGATGTCAAACGGGCTCTGCGGCGAACTCCGCGACACCTACATGGACTCGTCCTCGGTGTTGGCGCACAGGTTCAACGCCGAGCTGTCCTTGAATTGCACAACAATGACGTTCTCCTGGGGGTTCGTCTCGGGAGGCGTCACCCCTACAAGTAAACAACCCGCCCCAAAACATTTTTAGCATCATGCTGCCATGAAGGATGAGGATATGATAATGCTCTACCTCGACATTCTAGGCCGCAGCGAACATCTATGCACGTGAGTTTGAGGTTGACGCGGTGCTCCAGCTCTCGACGGCTGTCGCTTTTGTAGAAGCAAAGACTGCCGTCCACCCAGAGGTCACACCAGTTCAACTTCCAGCGCTTCAGCACAGACGCTAGACAGAAGGAAACACGCTCGATCACTCCAGTAATAAGTAACGCTTGTTCGGTTGACATCGACACCGACTGTACTCACTCTGTCTCCAAAGCCAGCCTGACCTCATGAGTGCCATGTTTGTCACCTCTGGTCCAAATACAGGTTGAGGAACAGGAACAAAACTTTTTTTGTTGGTCTCCTACGATGTAACAGACCGTGTTCCTCTGCTTGTTTAGTTTGCGACAGATTATTCTGTGTCCTGTCACGTCTGACTCACAGGATAATTCTGGATTAGGCGAGCACTTGCTTGGACACCCACCCTCCTCCGCCCTCTTTTCTTCCAATTTCACCTGGATTAATTTTCTCTCTGGACCCACACACAAATTTGGATTGAGACAATTTGGATTAGACAACTGGTCATCTTGATTCTTAAATGTTATTGATTGTGTATCGTTGCCACAAAATACAATCGATAAACTGTGACATAACAGCATAAGGATTAGCCCATTGCGAACCGTCCCTGTGCAGGTCAGTTACATGAGCCTTACCAAGTATGCATGCGGGCCCTGTAACTCAAGATTTCCCTGGCCACAACATTTGGTAAAATAAAAATTATGGGGAAATAATTTCATTTTGATTGACACTGCCAGAGAGATAAACAACAGCAAAGCAACACATAAACACAATAGAGAATGAACATAACAAAAGAGAAGAAAAATATATATACAATGTCTGAAAAAAAAACGTGTCTTTCATATCACCCTTTCAGGGCTGAGAAAACTGTGAGAGTAAATGCAGTTTATTAAATGTATCTTAAATAATAATTAGACAAATTTTTGATTAAAATATATATTATGTACATTGTATTGTATTTGCGCAAGAACGACCTCTTATGTTTTGTTATGAAGTTGCGCAAGAGCCATGCGAGATGAAAACTGTTTAAATTTCGTCATTTCCGTCATACAAAGTAGGCGCGGTTTACCCTGACGCGCCGCCTGTAAATAAATAAAACCTCGTATTTGCATTTCATGAAAACGATGTTTTCAAATTATTATTATCTACATTGTTTGTAAAATACCAACTTTGTAGTTTTATTTCGATTTTACGCGAGAAGGTGATTCGCCATTTAAATGACATCATTTTCAACGCAGGTTTACAGTGAAACTCCGCCAATAAAAAGAAAACACCGTCTTCGATTATTTTAAATAGTTATTTTTTTATTTAATATATGTATGTATATAATCACCTGTACACATCATATTTTTTGGTTTTGTTTCAAATTACGTTTGAAGTCAATAAAACGTCGACATCTCCGGTGAGCGCGGCTTTAGGATGAGACGCTGTCAGTGAAAATAACAACGTATTGAATGTTTTCATATTTAAGTGTATATATTTTCATTTAAGCTTATAAACTTCACTTTCAGTGCGATAACTACGTCTTTTCCCCCAAAATTGCGCGAGGAGGGGCCTGTTCAAATCGAAAGCCATTTAAACTACGTCACTTCCGGCATCCACTGACAGTCCACCAGCGAAAAGAAAACACAAACATAACATAGCGAGTGGCTTCCGGATAGGTTCACGGTGAGTGCAGTAATAATGTCCAGTAAAAATAATCATGTCGCTTTCATAGTACGAGGCTAAGAAGTTGACCTCGTTGAGTCGGACGCTGAGGATGAAGTTATTTCACTCCATGTCACTACGGGATATGTTATTTTCAAGCGCTACACTTGTAACACAGCTCGAGACATTTTATTTCCGTCGTTTGACTGCCTGACAAATTCCATGAGCCACGAGTACTATCTCTTTGCAATGTTTATCAACACAGCACAGACCTTGGTGTTGGATTATCACCCCTTCAAATTGGACTTCTTCCGAACCCCGTTCAAAATTTATCATTTTCAACGTGACCTTGATCTCTCTCGAGTGTATTCGACGACGGGAGCAAGATTTCGGCTTTTTTCTCAAACGCTATGACTCGTTCTACATTTCGGCATAAACAGCGACTTTGAAAATACATGTAATTGTAAAATAATTGTCTTTACGTATTTGTTGTGAAAAACAGGCGGTCCTCGGTTTACGACAGCGTCGACGTAACCCGAGTGTGTACGTGTGTCGAGCCTGCGTTCGTCGTTCATTAACCTACAATATCCCAGTGATAAGTCATAATTAAAAAGAATATTTGTATTAATAGGGAATTTTTTAAATTAATATTTGTGTGAAAAACTATTCTGGACAACAAACGAAACAATAAAGGGGGAAAAAATCCACAGACGTAACTGAAGCATACCTTATCTGCCGTGACATGTTCTAATGTGGCGCTTCCGTAGCTTTGAAATGTCAGATTCCCACTCATTACTTGGGTAAAAAAAAATAATTATCGGCCGCAGTAATAAAACAAAGGAATAACAGAGACGGTGGTAACTGAGCGTGCCTTCTAGTGCCGTCTGACAACATATTCTTAGGCTGCTGTGCAAACTAGTTTGCATTCCTTTTTTTAACTCCAAGATGTCATAATTACGGTAAATATTTGTATGAAAAAACATTCTCAAGTATGCAAATAAAATCAAAAACAGGAAAAACGGGAGTAGGTGAGTGCGTCTTGTGCTGCGCAGCGATTACACTGTCGTCCATCACAAACCGAACTGTAGTCCAGTATACACACAAGGGTCGCGGGGCATGCTGGAGCCTATCCTAGCTGTCTTCGGGCTGCAGGCGGGGTACACCCTGAACCGGTTGCCAGCCAATCGCCGGACATCAATGTAAACACTTACACTTAAGCACTGCCGTCACTGAGCGTGCCTTCATATGCCATGTGAAGATGTCTTCTAAAGCAAGTGGTTTCAGTGCAAGGTCGCCGTCTTGTGGCCTTTATATGCAATTACAACCCCTCGAGTCATATTATAGTTGAACTTGAAGATCATCTCTTGTACGTATTTTCCCATTCTCAGCTCTCATTCGCTGCTGTTTTTCTTCATTTTTGCGTGTCTCTTCTCAGCAGGGGCATGTGATCGGACGCGCTGTTGAAAAGCGGCTCTGCCCACATCAAAGGTAATGTTTGGTGGATCTGTGAGAAACTCTTCCAACAGGAACATCAAACTAGAGCTATTCTGGCAAGAGGAGATGATTTGTCTGAAACCGATAGTCCTGATCAGGGTGGATTAGAGAGAGGGACTGTCCACATCCGGACAGACACAAAGAATTAGTTTGAGTGATGTCATCGCACTGTCACTGATTGTCTGATGATTAATGCCAAAATTGAAACAAACTACATCACAAACAAAGATTGTGGAGTTGTTATGCAAGAGTCCTGAAACTCCTGGAAAAGTGCGTAAAATGTCTTTGCCTACTTGGAGGCTGCAAATGGACAAGTAGCCCGTGGAGGGTCATCTGGTGGCGTCAGCGCAGCCCGCTCATGTCGCTTCATGTTACGATTTGCTTGTCACTCATGCCATCACGCCTATGAGCTATTTTTAGAGCCCACGTGAGCTCGCTTCTGTATGCTACAAGGTGGCCCTCTCAAAGGCCCCTAAAGTAATATGAGCTACATCACCGATCGCATGGATGTTCAAATGAAGTTTTCCCCAGAGGAAATAAATGGAAATCAAAATCATCACTTTTGTTCCTGAGCTGTCATGCAATTGTAAAAAAGAAGTTGAACCATTACAACGCTCTTAAATGAGGTATCATGGATAATGAGAGTCACCCTTTTTTAGGGCAAAGACAATGGATCAGTCCTACGATGAAGAGGAGGCTCGCACCTTTGTGCAGGTCATCAGCGACAAGTACAACACGGAGAACTTCCCGTACGGCCAAGGCGTGGGCGTTGTGGTGCTGCCCTCGCCCCCTGGGTCACCCACCAAAGGTCAGCGGCGGTTGCCGGTATGATTCGCTGGTTGTATTTATCCTATTGCCGGCATTCCTCGTCCGCAGGTCGCCTGTTCTTACCCAGCGTGCTAGTTTTGAACGACTGCGGCATCAAAAAGGCGGGCGACAAGTCCAACATCGCCGCTTTCTGCGCCCATGTGGTCGAGCTGGACCTGTCCTACAATGAGATCCACGACTGGGCCGAGGTGGGCAAAACTACTACTTAGCCAAGGACATTTATTTTGAGCGACACTTCCTGATCTAGTTTTTCTTCCACACACATGTAAAAGTAAAATTTAAAATCCCAACATGTGACATAGTAGAACATAAATTCGAAAATCATTCTATTTCTATATTTAATCTCCTCAATTCAGTCTCACTTTAAGTGCCTTATTTTATTTTTTTAATATGCTTCTTTTTTGAAACATGACGGGTTTGCCAGATCTGTGCCATCGTTTCCAACGTCCCTCGCCTAAACTTCCTCAACCTGAGCATGAACCCGCTAAGCGGCGCCACGCTGGAGCCGTGCATGGCCGAGGTGTTCGCCCGGGTGCGGCGGCTCGTCCTCATCAACACGCACGTCAGCTGGGAAACCGTGCACGCGCTCACGCAAAACACGCCCGAGTAAGTGGAACGACCGTGACCATATCATAGATTTACCGAAAGCAAAACCTGTTTACCATTTGTGCTCCCGATTTGTCCTCAGGCTGGTGGAGCTCTTCCTTTGCCTGAACGACTACCACGTCGTGTCCCAGTCCTGCACGTCCTGCCCCTCCCTGCGACTGCTGCAGATCACCGACAACCACCTGCGCGACTGGGCGGAAGTGCGCAAATTCGGACAGATGTACCCCAGCCTCAGCGAACTGGTGCTGGCCAACAACAACGTGGAGTGCGTGGGCGACACCCGGGAAGCGCTGCAGCGCCTCTTCCCCAACTTACGCTGCATCAACCTCAACAACTCAGGTCAGGGGAGATGTGCAATTTTTCTTCCTCAATATTGTGATTGCGATTTTTATGTAGGATTATTTTTCATGGTCCTCTTCCGATACAAACCAGTCAAAATCACCATGCTGTTCTGTCCCGCAGGACTGAGCAAGTGGGAGGACATCGAGAGGCTGAATTTCCTCCCCAAGCTCCGAGAACTGAAAGTGATGGGGATTCCGCTGTTGCAGCCATACAGCACACAAGAGCGCCGCAGCCTCCTTTTAGCACAGTAAGGCCGAAAACATGCAGTGCACCCCCGGGAACTCGTACACTGTGTGTTCCAGCCCTTGGATTTATGCAGAAGTTCTGCGCTGAAGGAGACATACCCGTTTTTTTTCCAATTTCAAACACTTCTTCATGTGTGTGAATGTCATGTCTGTTGCACGCGTTAGTCAAATTACTCCAAGGATAATAAATTATTTGTTATTATTAGTAGTAGTCGTCGTATTTAGTAGCGTGTGCGCGTGCAAATTATGTGTGGACATGATGTCATGGCTTCTACTTCTAAATTTAAATATTTGCCATGATCTTTTCTCTCCTGGTGACACTCTTTGTAGTAGATTTGATGTGTCAGAAGTCTGCGATTTCCACATTCCATTGGTACACGGTGATGTCATCCAAAAGAAAACCAAAAGCCTGCCATCTGCTGGCCATAGATGGGACTCTCGTTGACAATATTTCATGTCAATGTGGACTTCAAGGGAGATCAGATGATCGTGATGCCTCTTTCGAAAGTTGAGTTGTCTTTGGGGATACATTGAAAGTTTTGGTGGATTTCTAAGTTGTTCTTGAGTTTCTCGAGTTTCTGTACGGAAAAGGGGCTGTTACGCGCAGTGTTGTAAACTGTCGTATCTTCATGTTCTAATTGCTAAGTTACTGCCTTCGTCCCCAGGCTGCCAAATGTCTTGGTGCTGAATGGGGGTGCGGTGTCCGAAAACGACAGGGAAGCTGCTGAGAGGGTCTTCATCCGATACTACCAGGACTGTCCGGAGCAGGAGCGCCCGCACAGGTGTGGAAAGCACATCATAACTGTTAGCGCTTCAGAGAAGGCAACGTAACAACCTCAGAAAGTTAACATAATGAGCAAGCCATGCCCGATGTACTCTGCAATTACATATGTGAAGGTAAAAAACAAACAAACAGTAAAAACAAGGTTAATTTAGTGAGCAAATGGGTCGTCCCTAACTAGGAGTGGGAACAGGAGGGTGGCTGGGACTAACCTTTGGTTTGGGGAGGGGACAATGCCTCCACTCTCTCCCTGCTCAATGACTTCTTTGTACTGGGAATTCTCTTATTGGAAAACGGATATACACAAGTCGATTTTTTTTTCTTCACTATATGAATTTTAAATACATGCTCAGTTTGAAAACCTCAATGGAGTAGATCTTTTTTTTTTGTCACAGTAGATCATGACAGTGGAATTTGCGGGCAGACGGTCTCGTGCCGCTGGATCAATTATGGAATTAAATCTGGAGCACAGTACCATCGCATGGTACAGAGCCAATGAATTAGACCACTTAGCAACCATGTTGCCCAGACAACGCAAAACATTTGCTTATTTCTCAGGAAACTGAAGTCAAATTTAACCGCCACGCTGTCACCGTCGAATGCAAAGCGAGAGTCTCCAAAGTGTGTCACGGTTTTGCTTTTAACTGGAAAAACTTGCCAGAAGTATTTCCATCAGGCTGTGGGTCCAGCCAAACACCCCCAAATTTGTTGATTCCTGTTTTTTTTTTTTTTTAGAAGTTGACTTTATCTGTTCAGCAGTGCTTGAATGTCTTGTGTGACATTGCAAGGCATTGAGAAACAGGCGTAGCTTGAAAAAAGCCCGGCGAGCTGTACAGGAAGGATTAGTTGCAAGAGGAGTGACCAGACTGAAAATGAAATGCGAGTCTCCATCGGAGTAAGTCGAGGGACTGAAAAGGGGACTGAAAGGAGACAGGACCTTACAGCAAAGACGGAATACTTTGGAGTGTTCCAGTGAGAGATAAGAAGGGGCCGCGAGGTTGACATTTTTAACCTTTGACACCAATTCAACGCTAACAAACAAGCTAATTGATCCATCGCAGGAAAAAACAATGGATTCTGTCTTCACCCTTAGAGGAGACAAAATCTGCAGTCAATTCGCAAATCAAAACTGTTCCCACGTGTCTTAATGCTTGCGTCACTTGAGTCAAAAGAGCCCAGGGATCAGGAATTAGTCTGATCTGGGCGGGTGCTGCTCTGACGGAGGCGGAGATGAATAGAAATAGTGTTGCGTGTTGAGAGTTAACCTTTCCCTAATTGACGTGAGAATTTATGAACCCTTTCAGGGGCAGCGGTCACCACAGTGGACAGCTTATCATGTTACGGGTTATCATTATTGGTGCATGAAAGGGTTAATATGACTAGCATGTTCACATAAATCAATTATCATGAATGTATAAAGCCGGTAGCCAACCGAACTAATTAGTCGGCAGGATGTCGCTTTTTCTACTTGGAAAATGTCAAGCCCTGTCTGATTTCCACAGGTACAGCGAGCTGGTATCCAAGTACGGCCAACTGGCGCCATTGGCCGACGTGGACCTGAGCCCCCGCTGCACAATGGTGGACGTGCGCTGGGGCGACAGGGTGGAGGCGGTCAGCCTCCGCCTGGAGCAGACGGTGGGCGAACTGAAGAAGCAGCTGAGGGCGCTTCTCCAGCTGCCCAGCAACGGGGTCCGGCTCTTCTACATCAACCGGGAAATGTCTGCGGTCTTCGGACCGGAGGAATTGAAGTGCGGCTTCCGGGCCCTCCACTCGTACAGCATTCGAGATGGAGACGAGATCCTCATAGTCCCCAAGGTGAAAAGCCGCTGTAGCTCCTCACATCTCTGAGGTAGGACTCTTGGATATTTTGTTTTGGGTTTTTTTGGGTGGGGTTCCACAGGACTCGCTGAACACTTAACTGGATTAGCTTTGACTTGAATTTGTCATTTTATGCAACAAAATGTTGGGGCTGGGTTGCACCGTGTTTACCAAAAACTGCTGAGGCCTTGCGAGTTTTGGTTGCTTTGCCTCAATGAAAGCGGTTTCGATCATCGATATTCGCGCACTAACCGGGATAAAAGATGGAGGCAGGCAGGGCTACCAGAAAGTTGCTTGTAATTTTGGCTCAGATGGCTGTTCGACTTGTTTACTGCAAAAGTGTTTTTGCTCAGGTGCGTACAATTTCGATATGTCATTCTTAAAAGCTACTGATTGCAAAAGAGTCCACCTCGTTTATGCTGAAGTGATTGCAGCCACTTGATCAAACAATTACGACAATTTTTTTTTTTCGCCCCCGAATTGAGCATCCTTGCCTTCCTGCAGAGTCCCTCCCAGACTTGATGGTAACCAAACACCCGTTGTAGTGTCAGGTCACTTCCTCTGTATCTACCGGGCTGGCTCGCCAGCGGGTTGGCGGGAGGGGCGTCGACCACCCGTCGGACTGAATGCCACCGTTCTTCCATCACCCCGCACAAACCTGACACCTCCAGTGTCCGCTCTTTCACAGGATGCGGGGTCCCGACCTCTCCCACTGGCTCACGTTGGCCTTCCAAATCAAAAGACAGAAAATGGAATACCCACCAACATGCGGGAAATTCGATTCTTAAGACCAGAACCTTTCTGGCAAACTTGCGTCATATTTCTGCGAGGAGCTTCTTGGTGTTTTGGTGTATTTGTACGGACAACACACTCGTCTCGCACAAAAAGTTCACGTTACCTCGACTTTTGAATATGTCCCGAGATGGCAGGAAACTGAAAATCTGGGTGAGGTTTGGTGGACATTATTGGCTGGCATTTGGTGAACACTACTGTGGGTTGTAACGTGAATTGTTTGCCATACGGTGTTGGTTGTTTGTTTGTTTGTTTTTTATATATGCTGATAATTGCTTTTAATTGTGTATAAAATGTGACGCTCAACACTGTGCACATGAGAATTTATTACAATTTTGTACAAATCTTAATTTGTACTCGTGCTTGAATTATCGCCCAGAAACATACACACACACACGCACACGCACACGCACACGCATTTGAAATATATTTGTCATATTGGGCCTTTTCACTGAATTACTTTCCGATCCGTTCTGAAATGTTAACAAAAAGTCACTTTGTTTACCTTTGAAATTTTTACTACGGTAAATTTTCACAAGAACAAGTTACACCCTCACTTAAGCAAGATTTCAAATATAAGTCGCCAACGTGTAATGGTTTCACTTGTGCTATGCCGGTGTATTAATTTATATTTTTGGGATCCTTGTTGTCAGCGGTGACTTCATTTTTGTGTGTTCCATTTCTCAGTCATGATCATGATGCCATTTTCACAGCTCGATGTATAATTTAGCTTTGGCTTCTCTTGAAGAAATAAATTCTGAACCGATCCTAGACCCATGGTTTTTTGTTTTGTTTTGTTGTTTTTTTTTTCATCTTTGGGACAAACTGACGTAGAGTTCCGGAGATATTTCAGGTGCTCGCCCCATTAAGAAAACGCTCAGGTCTTCAGATTTTGGCCATTTCTATTATCTTCGAGTCTGGTCGAAGACTTGTGGCAAATATGTTGGCTGCTAAGGTGCATTATGAAGTGGGAGGGAATGCGGTGGTGTGGGGAGAGATTCAACTGAGCATATTGTGCGCTTCAAAGAAAGGAATCGTTGGGATGGGGGGGGGGGGCAGGAAGGTTTGAGTTTCTGGAAGAAAACTCAGTGCGTCTTGAATGAGAGCACTAAAAGGCCAAGGGCAAGGGGAACGGCCGGGGATCAGGGTGGCCCCATTCCTCAATCCCTGGATTGGGTGACACCAGCGGGGGTATCCAGTCCTGGACCTGCTTTGTCAAGGTCAGGCTTGATGGGTTCCCCAGAAGATGTGATGCTGCGTATACCTTCACCGGGACTGCATCGGGTAACCAGTTGAAAGTAAGCCCTCGAGCCTCTGTTGGTTGTCAACTATAAATAGAAACCGTTTCGACTTCAGCCAGTGGTATCTTCCCATCTGTCCCAAGTTGTTGTTGAATTTGCTCAGTTTTACTTTAAGTGGTTGCACTTAATTAAATAACTTGTCTGGATCCAGATACATATTTTTTAAGTAATGTATAGTGTACTTATAATATTTTATTCTTTTCTTTAGTGTCATGGCGGCGTGGCTCTTATCACAGTTTGAATTTGACTTTCAGGAATAAGTGGCAATAAAACAGGCCAAAATCCACATTTCAGGAATTGAGGCATGGCAAGAGTGCTGAAATGAGTGTTCAGTAAAGATAATGTTAAATGTTTCTGCAAGTGGCAGGTCAAATTTCTGCTGGCAAAGCATTCCAGAGTATTCGAGCCAATATAGAGAATGCTGTCCAACCTCCCGACTTCTTTTTTAGCTCTCGACATCACCAGAAGACCAGCATGTTGTCAGGCAAAGGCTTGGGAAGGAATTTAAGCTAAGGCTGACGCCAAATTTGAGACCAAACATGGCAACCAGCATGGAGTAAAACCAGACAAAGTGGAAAAGGGACCAAAGATGGCCGTCTACCTCCATTTCGGCTCTGATCCTACCTCCAAAGTCGTTAAATTGCCAGTTCTGCATCAGTGCCCCCTCCCCCCCAAAAAAAAACAGCACTTTCTCCGTGTCTGTTTTTTTTTTTTTTTTAAACCAATTGTTGCATCAATGAATAGTAACTTTACCGTGAGGTCCTATCACGACACTTGCATCTTTTCTACCGTATTCACACACACACACACAACACCTTTCCTAAAACACTAATCCAAGTCAAGAACCTCTCCTCGGACACCCGGTCATCGGTAACTCTTGATATCCTCTGCCTTTGTGTGCTTCCGCTTTTCACCGATGAGTATGCGTCCATTTATGCCCCGTCTTGAGTGGGGTTCATAAAAGAAGCCTCAGCTAAGGGAGCATCGGTGTGTCTTAATGGTAGCACAGGTCCTGGCCTCACTCCTGGAGGCTTTCACACGTCTTGCTCCCCGCCCAATCCTGCTCTCCAGTTACTCCCCACTGTCCTCCCGCAACAAAGCCTCAACTCAGCACCCTGCGAACCCCCTTTTCCCACACCCCATCAACGCATACCCACCTGAGATTTCATCCACTTGCTATCGGGCGAGCATCTCCGGAGACTGCTTGTCTTGCGGATTCTCGCACATGACGCTTTTCCTAATTAAAAAGGAAGCGAGATGTAGTACCCTGAGTGACTCGTGTGAATTCCGTAACTTGACCTTGTTTTAAGGCACAGACGGTTTCTTCGTACGGTGCTACCGTTTAAAAAAGAAACAAAAAAAAAAAAAAAGTCCAAATTCAAGCGATCTTTCGTTAGCGTCGTTAGCGGATAAGATAAAAAGAACATCTTCATCGTAATTGATTTCAGCGACGTTTGCAGAAATGTCCAGTGAAAAGTATTACTCGAAGACTTTTTGATACTTTTTGAACCCTGCAATGAGTCAGTTTTACCCTCACTAAATTTTCCCCACTAAATCACCCAAAAAAAATGGTTTTCCGAAAACACGTCCCCAAATAATTCTCTTTTCAGACCGAGAAAAAAAAAATTAAAACTGCAATCAATGTTTTCCCTAAACTGGACTTTTCCTATCTTATACGTTAACGTCTCTCCATCCATCGTTATTCGACATCTCCACCTCCCTCCACTCCTTCGCTTCCTGACATTCCTGCCTCGTCCGTCCCTCCCCTCGCCCACCCTAGCCCACATCTCCTCCCCTCCGATCCCCACTTAAATTGAAGTCGGTCCTGCGTAAGTCGCCTCTTGCGCACTTTCGACATATGACCAACCGCTTTCAGAGGATTCGTGTTTGATTTGCGAAAGCTGGAAATCGGACGCCGTCCACCTGTTTGACCCGCGGATGCTCGTCCGCTGGATGGGACTGTGCCGCGTGGAGGTTGCCAGGTTGGATTAGACGGGTGCTCCAAGACCAACTCGTCAAGGCAGGTGAGTGCCCTTTACGCGACGACAACTTTAAAATCTGCAAAGCTTCAAATTGCATATTCATTCATTCATTTAAACCCTTATCACATTCATTCGCAATTAGAAACCGTAGTCCAGCAACGTGAAAAATAGTCACTTAAATAGGTGCAGTATACTGTCAACGTTAAGTGTATTTTAGACGAGTACTCCGTATCATTCGGATACATTTTTTGAAGAGAAAAATAAAATATATTATGAATAAAATTCATTCAATGAAAATTAAGTGACTACAGTAAAAAAAAAAAAAAAAAAAAAACTAGAGCAAAAGGGGACAAAAAAATGTTCGAATAGAAAATAGGTTTACTGATATGTCAGCATTATTACTGTTTTGCTGAGGAAATACAAATTCCAGAAGATCACTGTATATTCTTTTTAAATAATTGACCTTTAATTGTCAATCGATATTCTCCAGATCTTTCATGCTTCGGGGTTGTCCCTGGGCAAGGCAGTGTTTTACCCCCCCATGATTGTCATGCAGGGACACCCAAATGCAACCCATCTCCAATGAGCTCAACCCCCCGAAGCATGACGTTTACATCCCCATGCTTCAAAGTTGACATTATACCTCAGGCATTGCACTCTTTGTCTGATGAACACTGAGAGTGGAATTGATTAAAAAAAAGAAAAAAAAAGGTTGACCTCATCTGACCTCCAGGCCTTTTCCCATGCCACCTCTGAATCATCCAAATACTCATCGGTAAGCCTCAGTTTGGGCTGCGCAAAAGTCAAATATAGTGGGAAAATGTCCGAGTGTATCTGCGCCGATGGGAGGCGGAGTTTGCCAAGCTGCTGCCACACTGCTATGACCTTGGCAAGCCAAACACATCCCTGCAAGCTATTAGCCCCCCCCCCCCTCACACCGCAGCCCCCTCAATGGTAATACGGTGTAAGACGGCCTTGTGGCATTCGAGTTGGAGAACAAGCCTGTAATCCACCGGTGCCTCCTCGCATGGGGACCGTAAGGCTAATGTGATCCTGACACATTGTCCCAGTACGCATAATGGCTTCTTTTCAGGCGCTCCTCAGGGGAGACCTGGGAGCCTGCGCTTTAAGAAGTAGTAGCCGGGACATGATCTCAAAGGGCCAAAACATGGTTTATGATGATACAGAATGCGACTTGTGTTCGCTTCATAATATTGTGTGTGAGCACTAATGGTCCCAGTGGTCAGGCCACAATGTGGTGTGACTTGCCTGGTGCCAGAGGTCAACACCGAAGACGGTCTGTGATGGGACGAGGGCGGGGTCCAACAAGATCCCTTTGGTTCCATCAAGGCAGGGCTTCTGTCCAATGTCTCTGATTCTGGATTCCTTCTTCATTCTTCATGTTTTTGTAGGATGGTGACACCAGACATTCCGGTCCTTCTGCTCTTGATCGTCAGCGCAGCCGCTCGCACGAGAAGTATGAGATCTCACACCACGACGTCGCGCACACCGGCACATTCTCATGAGATCCATCCATCACTTTTTGTTTTCTGCTCCGTTTTAGTTGCTACTCGGGATGTCTTGTATCCGTTTGGACCCGCCCACATGGATCTGGAGACCCCCAAGATGGATGACGGGAGCTCCCCGGAGATTCCTCTGCTTGTGCCCTTCATTTTCTTCAGTATCCCCTACCGCACCATCTACGTAAGACCCGACCACGAACCTTTTCCCGTTTGACATAAAGCTGGTTGAAGGAAGTTGATTTTAACCTTAAAAAAAATGACACGCAAATTGTCTTCCCAGGTCAACAACAATGGCGTGATATCCTTCAGCGAGCATGTGAGCCAGTTCACGCCAGAGGCGTTCCCCCTGAGTGACAGCCGGTCCTTCATCGCCCCCCTCTGGGCGGATGTGCACAACGGAATCCGTGGAGACATCTACTACAGGGAAACCACCCTGCCGCAGATACTGGAGAGGGCGACGCATGACGTCCGCCGGCATTTCAAGAACATCCCCAACTTCACGGCCACCTGGGCCTTCGTCGCCACATGGCATCAGGTCACCTTCTACGGCGGGAGCCAGACCACCCCGGTAATGGCCAAAAACCGACATTGTACGATTGTTTTGTGGCATTTTATGGTTAGATGCTGCCATCAGCTTCATTTTGACGATCGGAATTTCAGCCTAGAAATAGGAATGTTTGTATGACCGTTAGATGTTGGTCTAAATTTAGATCTGGGTTATTTATCCAGGAAGGGACGGTTACTTATCAGGGAAGACCCTACTGGAAGGGGTAATGCGTGAAGTACAATTGCAAGAACTTGACTCTGAAACCAGAAACCTTTCGAGGACTGCAGAAACTGATGTCAAAGTGCTGTTCTAGACTGAAGACCTCACTGAGGTGTAGTACTCTCAAAAGTCCAGGAAGTTTCGGGGTAAAGTGCAGATCGGATTGCTAATTGTATCATTTCTAGACATGTATGCCATTTTGTTGGTGTTCTTTGATGCACGTGGCTTGGTCTGTTTCTCTCTTTTGTAAAACTGTTTCACTCCTCTTGTTTGATTAAAAGGTGAACACATTCCAAACTGTGCTAATCTCAGATGGTGCCGTGTCCTTCGCCTTGTTCATCTATGAGGAAATCACTTGGAGCACAGGCACGGCCAGTGGCGGAGATCCGCTCACCGGACTAGGTGGCACCACAGCTCAGGTACACCTGATTTGATTTGATACCGTTACAGTCCGGACATCGAGGTTCTGTCACCGTGCTAGAGTTCTGTTCCTATTACGGTGACACAACCTCAATGTCCGGACTGTCTGAACTTTGTGATAAACGGGGGATCCGCCGTACGCAACCCGATGACGAAGTCTGCCTCACAGTCGTCCGCCTCTTTCCAGTCAGGTTTTAATGGCGGGGAAGTTGGACACTTCTTGAACCTGCCGGGATCGCGGAGCAACGATGTGGTGAACATTGAACAGACGACCAATGTGAACATTCCCGGACGCTGGGTCTTCCGCGTCGACCCGGAGCTGATCGATCCCGCCAATGGCTGCAGTTACAATGGCAAGTTCGGCCTTCGTTGTTGCATGAAATTGTCTGCTATGTTAACAGACAGCGCAGCAGCACATGCCAACAAAGACTGCGATGCTAACAGGCATATAGAGTGGTCCTGTTTGTAAAGTCTCTCCAAATCTACGTCCCGCAAATTCTCTAGGTCGTTTTTACAGACGAGGGGAGGTCTTCTGGCTGTCGGACCGCTGCTTGCAGCGATGCCGCTGCCTGGACGTGGACAACGAGGTGCTCTGCCAAGACGCTCAGTGCGGCCAACTGGAGACCTGCGAGCAGCAGGAGGGAGCCTTCTACTGCCAGCCCACCCGCACCAGTACCTGCGTGGTGTTCGGCGACCCGCACTACCACACCTTCGACGGTCTGCTCTACCACTTTCAAGGAACCTGTACCTACCTGCTGGCTCGGCCGTGCTGGGAAGCGGCGGGGCTGCCCTTCTTCAGCGTGCAAGCTCAAAACGAGGACCGTGGCGTGTCTGCCGTCTCCTGGCTGAGAGATGTAACCGTGGAGGTGTACGGTCACCGAGTCACGTTGCTGAAAGGAACTTTGGGAACTGTTGAGGTGAGCATAGGATAGATAAGAGTGTGAATGGTTTATTTTTCTCTCTATATGCCCTCCGATTTGGGGCAGTTGGATTATTGGTGCCAACTTGTCATCTGACAATGAATCGAAGGCAACCAGATTTCTTCTTGGGGTCAACAACCAAGGTTTCAAATTGCCTTCCAAATTTCTGCTGAATAGATTTTCTTCCAAAAATGAATCAAACTTGACTTCTCCTCCGAGTCAACAAGCAATTGGATGTCATCTGGTCTTCTCATGTTTGAGGCTGACCGTATCCTGTGACTGAGAATCTTCTGATCTGGTCTCTCTAGGTGGATGGCTTGTTGAAGACTCTACCGGTTCAGCTTCAACTCAGTGCCGTTAGAATCTACCAGTCCGGGTTGGCTGTCGCTTTAGAAACAGACTTTGGACTCTTGGTGACGTACGATGGGCAGCACTACGCCTCCATCTCCCTGCCAAGCTCTTACTTCAACAACACGTGTGGCCTCTGCGGGAACTACAACGACGACCCCGCCGATGATCCCGTCCTTCCCGACGGCACCCTTGCGGAAACCGTGGCCGAGCTGGGCGGCGGCTGGCGAGCCGAGGGCGCTGACTGGCATTGCACTGACGGTTGTGTGGACAACTGCAGCGTGTGCGACGCGCAAACGGAGGCCTTCTTCTTTGGCCCGGACTACTGCGGACTCATAAACAAAACGGACGGCCCATTCAGGGACTGCAGAGCCGTGGTGGATCCCACCGCCTTCGTGTTCAGTTGTGTCTACGATATGTGTAGCAACAAGGACAACATCACGACACTCTGCCAGGCCATCCAGGCCTACGCTCTGGCCTGTCAGGCACTGGGCGTCACCATCCGTCCCTGGAGGTCTCGCACTTTCTGTGGTGAGTTCCACATTGACATCCGTCCACGTTTCTCAGCCGATTCAAACCACTTTGACACATTTCAAACATTCTGAACGCCACAACATTTCGGATTCAGCGATGACATGCAATCTCGACAGAAGCTCCATTCTCCAGCTAATGTATTCTTTTGTTTCTGTGCTGCGTTGGATCTCAGCGCTGACATGCCCGCCGTTTAGCCACTACCAAGTGTGCACCAGCGCCTGTCCAGCCTCCTGCTCGGATGTCACCGCACCCTTGTACTGCGCCCACCCTTGCACCGAGGGCTGCCAGTGCAACCAAGACTACGTCCTCAGCGGCAGCCTTTGCGTACAGCGGGACGACTGTGGCTGTGAGCACAACGGCCTCTATTACCCACTCAATGACACTTTTTGGGCCGGCCCAGACGGTCACGAAGGCGAATGTAGCCTCCGCTGCACCTGCGCGGCCGCGGGCCAAATCTCTTGCTTCAACGAGTCTTGCAAGGAGGGCGAGGTGTGCACGGCGGAGGTGGGCACGCTGGGTTGCTACCCTCGGCGTGAGGGGCTGTGTTCAATCGCTCAGAACGCTGTGACATCATCCTTTGACGGCGCCTTCCTGCTGTTCCCAGATGACAGCTCCTACTACCTGCTGAGGCTGTGTGGCGCTGTGCCAGCTAATGGCTCAATGGTGGAGGTGAAGATAGGCAGACGGCTGGTGAACAAAGGCCCTGCTTGGAAAAGACCTGTGGTAGTTACGGTTGCTAGCCTGGAGGTTCAGCTGGGAGGGCTGGATTTAGAAACAGTCAAGGTGAGTTGCAGCGTTTCCCCCACATATAGACGCGGTTTGGCAGTTGCAAATTTGCCTATCAGCAGATTTTGGGGGGGAAGCTACAGTGCCAGTCAAAAATTTGGAGGCACCCTCGAAATGTTTTTTTCATATTTTGAAAGTTTCCTGAATTGTAGATTATTGTATTAGATGTTCAGTGATGAGGAAGAAATATTTATCGAATCGTTTGGTGAAAAAAAAAAATGCGAATCACAAGTTGAATGTTTTGTCATTTAGATTTGGAGGATGCTTTAGGCCCTACAATAGCTTTCAATTCCTAGCTGTGCATCATCAATAGCTTGAATTATAATTTAATAGACTTCTTGATGTGTATTGTGTTGGAAACAGAGTGAATTCGAAGCTGTTTCTGTGCTTAGGGCAAAGTCAAGAATAATATATTTGTAGATTTGGTGCCATCCTATGGCATCTTGATGCCAAAATGAACAATATTGAAGTGAGTTGAGGAGCTTCACTGCATTCATTTGCAATGTATGTTTTGATCATTTTAAGTATGTTTTAATTTTGGTTTCTGCGGCAGTTCATTTTTAAGGGTCATGGTTATTTGGCATTCTGTGTAAAATGTTCTTTCCTACCCTCGGCGTGAGGGGCTGTGTTCAATCGCTCAGAACGCTGTGACATCATCCTTTGACGGCGCCTTCCTGCTGTTCCCAGATGACAGCTCCTACTACCTGCTGAGGCTGTGTGGCGCTGTGCCAGCTAATGGCTCAATGGTGGAGGTGAAGATAGGCAGACGGCTGGTGAACAAAGGCCCTGCTTGGAAAAGACCTGTGGTAGTTACGGTTGCTAGCCTGGAGGTTCAGCTGGGAGGGCTGGATTTAGAAACAGTCAAGGTGAGTTGCAGCGTTTCCCCCACATATAGACGCGGTTTGGCAGTTGCAAATTTGCCTTATCAGCAGATTTTGGGGGGGAAGCTACAGTGCCAGTCAAAAATTTGGAGGCACCCTCGAAATGTTTTTTTCATATTTTGAAAGTTTCCTGAATTGTAGATTATTGTATTAGATGTTCAGTGATGAGGAAGAAATATTTATCCAATCGTTTGGTGAAAAAAAAAATGCGAATCACAAGTTGAATGTTTTGTCATTTAGATTTGGAGGATGCTTTAGGCCCTACAATAGCTTTCAATTCCTAGCTGTGCATCATCAATGGCTTGAATTATAATTTAATAGACTTCTTGATGTGTATTGTGTTGGAAACAGAGTGAATTCGAAGCTGTTTCTGTGCTTAGGGCAAAGTCAAGAATAATATATTTGTAGATTTGGTGCCATCCTATGGCATCTTGATGCCAAAATGAACAATATTGAAGTGAGTTGAGGAGCTTCACTGCATTCATTTGCAATGTATGTTTTGATCATTTTAAGTATGTTTTAATTTTGGTTTCTGCGGCAGTTCATTTTTAAGGGTCATGGTTATTTGGCATTCTGTGTAAAATGTTCTTTCCTGGACCAAAAAGTTTGAGAACCCCTGCTCTCAACTGTACTTCTGTGCCTGATGATCTGTTTTTGGTGTCCTAGGTCAACGGCGAACCAATCGCCCTCCCCTACGTCCACCCGACGCAAACTATAAAGGTCTACAGAGCATCAGGCAACGCCACAGTGGTGGAATCCCGCCCTCATCTTCGCGTTCACTACACACAAAGCGGATCCATCAACATCTCCCTCTCCACCGCATTTTACAACGTCACCTGCGGCCTGTGCGGAGTCTTCAACGGCGATCCTGCCGACGACTTCCGCCTCCCCAACGGACGCCTGGCCGAGTCAGCCTCGCAGTTCTCGGATGGCTGGCGTTCCATCGCTGATGACATCAGCTGCAACGGAGACTGCGACGACTTGTACCGCACGTGCACGGACCTGCGCCTCTACCAGAGTCCGAGGATGTGCGGCAACATCAACGACCCCGGGAACAGCTCTTTCGTGGCGTGTCACGGTGCCGTCAACCCGTCGCCGTTTTTCCGGAACTGCTTGTACAACATGTGCGTGAAGGACGGCAACCGCTCGGCGCTGTGCTCCTCGCTGCAAGCTTACGCCGCCGCCTGCCAGGATGCTCAGGTGGTCCTCACTTCTTGGAGGACGGCCACCAACTGCCGTAAGTAGAAGAGCTTCAGCTAAGCTAAGCGTGAACGTTCTTGTTAAGCACTCTTTGGAACGGAGTACCGAGATGATTAAGTGCTTTGAGTCTATGCCGTGACATCAGAGTGATTTTGTGGTTAGCGCGTATGCGATCAATATTTGGAAACAAACGAAAGAAAGGAGAATGTATGCATCTGTGGTGAATTGCGGGCCACAACATAATGTGCCTTTGAGACTCTCTTAGAAAACGGCTTAAAATCCCTTGGCACACTTGGTTTTTGGCAAACAGAGCTGCCCTGGCACCGCGAATCGAGTCTAAATGTACCCCTTGTGAATCTGCGGTTTTCATGCCTAAAATTAGGAACGTGAAGGCTCATCTCTCAGCATTCTCACATGGAATGATTGGTTTCTTTCTCCCTACCACGTCACAGCGCTTCCCTGTCCGGCCAACAGCCATTTCGACGAGTGCGCCAGCGCTTGCCCCCTAACGTGCGCCGGGCTGGACCGGCCAGAGGTGCCCTGCCTGTTGCCGTGCGGCGAGGGCTGCCGCTGCATGGACGGCTTCGCCCTGCGGGACGGCCTGTGCGTGTCACACAGCGACTGCGGCTGCGCTGGCCCCGATCTCGACCGCCGGCTGCCCGCCAACCACACTTTCTGGACGGACCGGGACTGCCTGGAGCGCTGCTACTGCAATGGGTCGGACAACGACGTGTACTGCCTTGCGGCACCTTGCCTCCCCGAGGAGTACTGCCAGGAGGACTACGGGTTGTACTACTGCAGGCCTCGCACCGAGGCCCTTTGCGTGGCGGCCGGTTACGGCCACTTCCTGCCATTCGGCGGCGTCCCGTTTGAGCTACAGAGCTCTTGTAGACTGAGCTTGGCCACCACGCACTGCGGGGGCAGAGACGGCGCAAGCGGGAATGGAAGCTTGCCTCCGTTTAAATTATTAGCTCTTAATGAGGACAGGGAAACAGGACAAGCGGTTTGGGTGAGAGGCTTCGTGCTGGAGGTCTTTGACTTTGAGATCGAGGTGTCCCGAAGTTACAAGAACACCGCCATGGTGAGTCAATGGTGAAAGATCATGCGAAAAAGAGTTTTATTTATATTGAACGGTAGAGGCCGGGGAGTGGAATCCTTAGTCGATTACTAGTCGATTATTAGTCGATTACTGCTCAAGCGATTGTCAATACTTTAAACCCAACAGTGACACTTTGCTCTTTGTTTATTCAGGTGAATAAGGACCGCTTGTCCCTTCCCGTGAGGCTCGGGTCAGGAAAGGTTACCATCTTCACTTTGGGCACGCTGCTCATCCTGGAGACGGACTTTGGTCTCAAGGTGGCCTTCGACTGGAACACCCTGCTTGTGTTGACTTTACCCCGTCACCTCTACAACGCATCCTGCGGCCTCTGCGGGGGCTTTCCTTCAGCGCCGGCCGCCAGCAGCGTCGACGACTGGGGCGCAACCTGGGCTGACAGGGATGCTTTCTGCCAGGTGGGCTGCGGCGACTCGTGCCCAAGGTGCGGCCCTGGGGATAAAACCCCGCCGGACGATGGTGCTTTTGCTTCGGCCGATGACGACGACGACGACACGGACGACGACCACGCTACGGAACTCCGCCTCCGTCTGCGAGACGGTCTCTACGTCTTTGCGGAGCCTGAGGCGGCGAGGCTGTGCGCCCTGACGGCGGATCGACGGGGCGCGTTTGCACGCTGTCACGGCAAGGTGGCGCCGGAGTTCTTTTACCAAAGCTGCCTGAGGGACATCTGCTTGGATGGGGGCGCTCAGGAAACCGTCTGCGGTTGGCTGCAGGCCTACGCCACCACCTGTCAAATGCAAGGGGTACCTACCACCGGCTGGAGGCGCGGTGCGCCATGTGGTGAGTACTATCAACAAAAATCCTCTTGCTGATTCTCACCCGCAGGATAAATTGTGAAAAACATGACAAATATTTCACTTTTAACTCGGTCTGTATGTTACTAAATGTCCAACTCGCCTCATCCCAGTCCAGAGGTGTCCGCCGAACAGCCATTACTCCAGCTGCGTGCCGGTCTGCCCGCCCCAGTGCGCTCCCGCCCGCAGCCAGAGGGACTGCAGCCAGGATTGCGTTGAGGGCTGCCAGTGTGACCAGGGCTTTGTCCTCAACGGCAAGAGCTGCATCCTGCCTCAAGACTGCGGCTGCTACACTGACGGGAAGTACTACGAGGTCAGTGTTGTACGATCGCATGTGTAGTTGACGTCCCATCAGTCAGGAGTCAATTTGGATCGGCATTACCTTGAGTCTGACGTTGATGGTGACAGGAACGGATGATTAAACCTGCTTGCGTTTAGCATAGAATAGCGCACAAAAATACGATACTTGCAGAGGCCAGTACAGAAACCAAACAGATTTTTTTTCTGATTTGAAATAATATTTTTTTTCATCTGTGTTTGTGTCTTCTTTGTAGTCCAAACAGCTGTTCTGGAATGGCGATTGCTCCAAACGTTGCCAGTGCATCGGCCGCAACCTGGTCCAGTGCAACCCGCGGCGCTGCAAGGCGGACGAGGAGTGCGGCCTGCGCCACGGCGTGCGCGGCTGCTTCGCGCGACGCTCCCAGCAGTGCGTGGCGTCGGGCGGAGGCGTGTTCAAGACCTTTGACGGCGCCTCGCTGCGCCTGCCCGCCTCTTGCTCCTTCGTGCTGTCCACCAACTGCCACAAGCTGCCCGACCTCTCGTTCCAGCTCATCGCCAACTTCGACAAGTGGAGCGTGCCCAACCTCACCACCATTTCCCATGTCTACCTCTACATCAACGAGGAGAAGATCCTCGTCTCGGGCAACATGGTCAAGGTGGGGTAGCCGAGCGCCGTGTTTCCTCATGCGGATGCGCGACTTACGATCATTGATCCCGGCGCAGGTGAACGGCACCCCGGTGTCGATGCCTTTCGTGACCGGTCTGATGACGCGCCTGTCGGCTTCGGAGGGCTTCGTCGACATCGACTCGCCGCAGGACATCCGGTTGCGCTACAACCGCTTCAACACGCTGAGCGTCAGCATGGGGGCGCGGTTGCAGGACAAGCTGTGCGGCCTGTGCGGCAACTTCAACGGTGACCCCGCGGACGACTACATCACCTCTACGGGGAGGGCGGCCGGAAGCGCTCTGGAGCTCGCCCAGAGCTGGAAAACTAACGGCATTCAGGACAGGTGGGTGAGGAAGCGCACTCACAGCATTGATGGGAGCCACAGGTAGCAAAAGTACTCAATGCTGTGTCCTTAGATAGAAGTTCAGATACCTGTGGAAAATAAAAATAGATTTTGTGACATGTCGTCGGATGGTCTTGGAATCAGGTGCGACGAGACCCAGTACGTGGCCCTGGCCCAGTCTTGCGACAACGCGGCCGTGCTGGCGCTGCAGCGTGAGGACACGTGCCTGAAGCTGACCGAGCCCGAGGGTTTCTTCCAGCCGTGCCACGGCCTGCTGGACCCGCGGCCCTTCTACCGGTCCTGCTACCTGGACGGCTGCTACAACCGGCGCGGCGCCCAAGTGTGCGGCTCGCTGGCCGCTTACGCCGAGGCCTGCCGCTCCATGGGCGCCCTCACCACCAAGTGGATCGCTCAAGAGAATTGCTGTAAGTAGCCTCGCCTGTGCCTGTGCCTGTGCCTGTGCCTGTGCCTGTGCCTGCGTGTGTATGTTTGGATACGCGTGGCGGCTAACATTGCGTGTCGGACCATGTTTTTTAGCAGAATGGATCTACGACCCCTGCGCAACAGAGACCTGCACAAACTTCACATGCGAGCTGGAGAATGGTGGCGACCTGTGCGGATGTCCTGAGTTGCCCCCCAGCCCTGAAGGTTGTCACCTCTTGTTAGAAGTCAGCTAAGCTAGGTTCCAGTTCGCCTGTCACCCTGAAGAGCGCAAGCAGAAAGAAAATGGATTCATATTTTTTCTTCTTGATATACAAACACAATTTTGATGGGATTTAAAAAAACATATATTTGTACGCACCCAGAATCCACGTTTGCTTTTAGTTTACCGTTTAAAGAACTCTACCCGTGGGGCTTTTACCAAAGAGTGTGATGCAGCCCGTTGTCCCGCCGCCTGATCGTTGTGCCTCGCACGTGCGCGTGTGTGTCAGGTGACGACGATGTGATCGAGGCGGAGGTGACGTGCAAGCCCGCCGTGATGGAGGTGTCCATCTCCAAGTGCAAGCTCTTCCAGCTGGGCTTCCAGCGCGGCGACGTTCGCGTCAACGACCGACGATGCGCCGGCGTGGAGGGAGAGGACTACATCTCATTCCACATCAACAACACCAAAGGACACTGCGGCTCCATTGTGCACGTCAGTCAGCGTTCACACTGATTCGGAACAAATATTCTTGAATGACGATAATGGGACAAGCCAACAGACCAGAGCAACAACATTAACTGCCGCCAGTTCGTTTGTCGCTCTGTTCTGTACGGCAACGCGTTGACAATTTTCTGAGTTGACTTGAATCTGTTTCGACAGTCAAACGGGACGCACATCACGTACAAAAACACCGTGTGGATCGAGAGCGTCAACAACACGGGCAACGTCATCACTCGGGACAAAACCGTCAATGTGGAGTTCTCCTGCGCCTACGAGCTGGACCTGAAGATCTCGCTGGAGACGGTCCTCAAACCCATCCTCAGGTTAGCCAGTTAGCTCGCAGGCATAGACGCCGTACGCGGACGGTTTGGATGACGTTCCCTCTCTACTCCGCAGCGTGATCAACCTCACCCTGGCCACCCAAGCAGGCAACTTCATCACCAAGATGGCGTTGTACAAGAGTGCCTCATACCGCCAGCCCTACAGGGAGGGCGAGGTGGTCCTCAGCACGAGGGACGTCCTCTACGTGGGCGTCTTCGTGGAGGGCGCGGACGAAAACCAGCTCATCCTGGTGGTCAACACGTGCTGGGCCACGCCGTCGCGCAACAGCAGTGACCGACTCCGCTACGTCATCATCGAGCGAGGGTAGGAAGAATACGTTTCGTCGGATTTAAAAGAATAGTCATGATATATCATGATTCTACAAGAAAAAAGATCAGGGCAAAATACAATGAAACATCAAAGTGTCTTTTTCGCAACTAAGCGCCAGGCGTAGCAAAGCACCCCCAATTTTAATTTTAACCTGATGTCACTATAATGTTGAATTGTCATTTTTAAGTCTTAAAATCAACCCATCGTCCGCTTGTTTGAACCTTTTTGCCTTCCTCCTCAGATGCCCCAACGCCAAGGACAACACCATCGGCATGGCGGAAAACGGCATGTCACTCACCTGCCGCTTCCACGTCACCGTCTTCAAGTTCATCGGCGACTATGAGCAGGTGCACCTGCACTGCGACGTTTCGCTGTGCGACGCTGAGAGGCACGCCTGCAAAGTGGTGAGGGGACCACTTTCGCCTCGACCCCCGAGCACTCGTCCCGCCAGTTGTCTCATGTTTAAAAAGAACGTGTGGATGTGCAGAATTGTCCGCCCAAGAGGAGGATGTCGTCCAAGGATGGGTTACTCAAAGATCACGTTCTCAGTGTTGGACCCATTCGAAGACAAGGTAAGCCACGTTATTTGTACATATTTTCGGTGCACTTTCTGCTTACAATGTGTTCATTTGTGATGGTGGAATCGTCTCAGTGTCGGACTGGTGCGAGGAGGACAACGGCGGCTGTGAGCAGATGTGCACCAGTAAGGCGATTGGTCCTGTTTGCAGCTGCGTCACCGGGATGTTGCAAGCTGATAGGAAGACCTGTCGAAGTAAGTCCATTTCAGGGCCACCTTGACCTAAGTGCATAATTCGATCCATGACCATGCTTGGAACTCAAATTATGTCAATCAACTCAAATCAATTTTTACCGTTGAAATGAATGGAAATGCCAGTAATTTGTTCCAGCCCCTCCTGAAAACATGAGCAAAAATGCTTGTATGTTTTTAATAAGAATAATAGCACACATTTATTTATTTTTTAAATCATTTATTCATTCATTTTCCATACGGCTTTCTGATTACATAATGACAAATGTAAATCATTCAACAGTTTGTGCAATCATGATTTCATGCTTCAGTGCCCATTGACATTGTGCCGCTCCTTCTGGTGGGTGAGGCAGTATCATGGACTTTTCATGATACACGAACAAGAGTTTCACAACTACTAAGCGACTCAGTGAGCTGGAGCAATATAATTCGCAAAGGATAAAGAATCTATGCCAGTGACTATTATATTGTCTGTCTAGATCTCAAAAAACTCTTAGGTCAGGTCTTCGCACTTGCTAACGTGCTAGCACGTTGAAGATACAGCCGACAAAGAGCTCATTTGTACATACAGAATGCTCGCCTGCATTTTCTATAGTCGTACTACTGTAAGATTTTCTGACTCTTGAACTAATGGGGACCGGATGTTGTGAAACTCGCTCGTCAGATTTTGCTCACAACTCAAAGCAAAAAATTCACCAAACTATGGTTCTTAACTTACAATTTGGGGCAGTCTTATGACTGCACAAACAAAAAAGTATAAATGGAAGAAAAACTGCAGCATCATTTCTTCATGTTTTATTGTTGGTTTTTTGGGTGTCCTAGCTCCGAGTTCCAGCTGCACACTCGCACCTGCTCCCCCTCTGCTGAGCGCCGTCGTTTCCGCGCACCTGCTTCTCCTTCGCTGACGCACAATCGTGCACAGAAGAGACTTGAACGTGCAAAAGGGCGTCTGTTCGATTCGTCACTTCCACCTTCTTCTGTCCTTCGCTCTTTCTAAGGGTCGTCGCACTTGATGTCCCACGGTGTGTTTTCTGTCATCATCACTAGGTGGTGCTGTAGAATGAACATTTTAGTCTTCAAATGTCCTCCCAACACAGGGGCGGGGAACCTCTGGTGGCAAGGTACTCGTTGCAAGTTCTCATTTTCAGGGAAAAGCCTTCAGAGTTTACATCAAGACATGTTCAATGTTACACACAAAAAACAAAAAAAAGATATGGAAAAAAAATACAAGAAAAAATTTGAAAATGTTTCGGGAATTGACAAAGAAAAACAAGACACATTTTACTTTTTTTCCCTAAGAATTATGTTCTAATCGTAAAAAATTATCACAATAATATTCGAGCATGAAGACATCATAGCACAAGAACTGTTGTCAATTTATGAAGGGGGAAAAGCCGTTGTTGTACGACAAAGAATTACAATTCTGTGAGCAAAAAGTCGTAATATTCCAAGCTAGCATTAAGCCCCCAATTGCGAAAAGGTTCCCCAGCCCCGATTTGTCGAGGGATTGTACAGACGTCAATCGAGTAACGCGGCGCTGTACCTCAGGAAATTCCCTCATGCGTGACTTTGGCCGTGTTGTCTAAACACGACATGTGACGTCTGGTCTGCCTTTTTTTTTTTTTTTTTTTATTATTTGTTCTTTTCAGCGACTGGGACGAGGTGGTGTGTTTTCATTTTGAAAGGTGACATGCTTTTACTGAGAAATGATGACCACCTCAATGTGATCTTAAAATCGTGATTGGTCCGTTGATTCCAAACTGTTTTAGGGACCCACGAAAAAAAAATAGTGCTAGGCGTAAGTGCAGATGTTACAAGAAGAATTTTCGTTTGAATACAAATTCATTCTTTTAACATTTTTTCCCCATCATAACTGTACAACTTTATTCTTACATCGAAAAAAAATTCTCAAACTGTTGACACGTGACTATTGCTGCTCGATTCGCGAAATTTTTATTCTTGCAATATTCCGACTCTTCTCATGACATTGTGACTTTGTTGTTGAAATGTTCTGACTTGGCTCATTCTCTCAATCGTGACGTTTTGGGTTTTTTTTCCTCATGAGGTGGCAACTTAATTAGATTTGATTCTCAAAATTGTGCACGTTTTTTTAAAGATGTTTTGACTATTCTCATGACAACTTTTCGCGCAAAAAGTCTTTCTCAAACTTTTATTCATTTTAACAATAACAACGTGATAGTACGATTTTAATTTGACATTTTGACGTTGTTCCCCAAAATCTTGAGCTTTTTTAGGTCTTGTCACGATATTTCGTGCCGGTTAATTGTATATTTGGGGTGTGGGGGTTAAAAATTGAACATCGAAGGGTCGTTACAATTCTCTTAGTATTTTTCATCAAATTTTTACTCAAATATTTGCCCTTAGAATATTCTGACTTTAATCTCATAGCAACGCTAATGACTTTATCTAATGTTTTTTTTTTTTTTTTTTGACAATATTCCGACTTTTTTTGTGTGTGGGTGGGTGGCTCTCATGATCACGTGTTTTTTTTTTCTAATAATCACTCCCACTTGTTCTGTACATTTGTGACGAAGCAATGAAAGAAATGTTTAAATGTTTTGTGTGACTTTTGAATAAAAAGTTCTCGTCGTCCGTGCGACCGACATTGTTGCCTTGTTGGTCATGCCCCACCAAACTCATCCGGCATTGAATATGTCGACAAGCCCTTAAGCAAAATGTCTTTCCCAATTCTTTTGTCTGGATATAAACAGTAAGAAAACAAACATACCCGTTGAGTCGCGTCATCATCTCAACAAATCCTCTTACATAAGTCAAGAGGATTTCCACTTACCCAGTTGGCTGGGTAAGTGGAACAAACCGCTGCGTGCTGTGATTATTTTTATTATTATTTTTAAGATCTTCTAATATTTACAGTGGACCTTGCAAAGTATCGTAACGTTATTTTGTTCTTCAAAATTACCACTTTTTTTGTCATTACATTCCAATTACTTTATCTCAATACTGCAATTTTTTTCCCCATAACGTTACGATTTTTTTCCCCCGCTCGAAATGATATGATTTTCTCATTGTCATGATAAAACCTTTTTCTGACAAATTTTTGACTTTCTTCTCCTAACGTCGCATTTTTTTTGTCCCTTGTAAAGTTAAATTTTTTTCTCGCTCTGCTGTACATTCTTTTCTCTCAATATTACAACTTCATTTTCATAATGTTGAGACTTGTGGCAACACGCATCTCAGCAGGCTAGCTACTTATTTTTCCAGACACTGGTTAGCTGAGCGAATCGCATACTCGCAGTTCAGTACCCATGGAATATTCTATTGGTGAAGTTCATTTTAGTTTTTAACAGGGGTGGGGAGGGAAATCCCTGATTTTTTTGGAAGTCTATCTCCACTTATTCACAAATTCTTTTGGGTTCATTTTTTTTTATTCCCATCCACCCCTCGATGCATTTCTAATAGGTGCCAATTATACATGGCTGCTGGATTTGCCTTGGGAAACAAAACATTCTTGTGCCAACACCGCACTCAAGGAGTGACCTTTGTTGGTCATGTATTCGTGGTTGCATAACATTGATGGGTGTGTGTTAAGGAATGGCTTTCGCTTCATGCATTTTCGCTGTGTGACTGTGTGTGACCACTTGTTTTCTCATGTTATTACGACTTTTCGTAATTTACTTTATTTGACTTTTGTAAAATTATTTTTGTGGGAAACGTATACCAAAAAAACTGAAATACGCAATTACATCAAGGATTGCAAAAGACAAAAAAAAAGTCAAGATAAAATTAAATCTGAAATATGTTTCAGAGATAAAATATTGCTGGCAAACAAACAAAGATAACATCCACCTGCCAAGCGAAAATACAAGAAATGCAATCTGGGCTGTTATGACACCCATCACATACTGCACATTGTTATGTAAGAGTACCCAATGACATTTATGGTAGTTAATTTTATGACCCACTCTGATTTGTATTCCAAAGCAGTCCTGATATGCAAACGTTGCTGTCCAACAATAAGTTTGCACTGTATCTCCAACTTTATTAAACTGGAGCGCCAAAATGATTTTTTTTTCCAGATTAAAAATAATAATAATACTGTCACCCCCCCCAAAAAAATCACAACATTAATCTGCATGAATATTGGGTATTTTTGCATGCTCTCTTTGTGTTTTTATGTTCTTGTTCGAATGGTTTACGTTCTATTTTCATTGGTTTGTGGCTGTGTTGTGATGTGTTTGAATATTGATGAAAGAAACAAAGAGAAAGAAAGACGCGGTGTATGTTTGTTCCGCGTGGCTGTAGGTGTAAAAGTAAACGGTTTTTTTTCCCCAACACAAAATTTGGAGCCGCACTACAGTGCACACTTTTTGTTGCGATTATTTTGGAATAAATTATACCAATGAAAAAAAAAATAGGTCGAGAAAAACATGATTAGATGCCTCGTGTTTCCTATGACTTCCGAAGGCAGCACTGCGCCGTCTCTCAGTTCAGAAGAAGAAGAGGAGGAGCAAGAGGCGTTCACGTTCACAGTAAAAACGACTTACGCGGTAGTTAGTCGACCGTTTACTCTCAAGTCTGCCGGTGGGCTATTCGCGCGACAACCCTTTCCAAGGCTCCCTCCTCACTTCACTGGACTCCTCTTCATCGTTTACGCACCCCTAAATTCCCTGGACTTTTGCTTTTCGGTTTCCCCCTCGCTTTTTGTTTGAGACTGTTGCAGCTGCGTCCACCATGCCGTCCCCTCGATACTCGTACACGGTGACGGCACCGGAGGAGCCGGCCGCCGCTTTGCCGGCGTCCAAGTCCAACGTGCGGCGTTTGGCTCCGTCCTTGTCCCGTTCCAAGCTGGTGTCCACCTTCATGGGACTCATCATCAACCAGGCGAAGGTGAGCGCTTCTGAATTTTAACGTTTATTTTGTTAGCATTTCTATCGAAAGCTTGAATCTTTTTCTGCATTATTGGGTGTGTTTTTTTTCTCCCAATACTATTATCTACATAAACAATGTCGATACACAAAGATGCCGTTAATTTTGTCACGTCTGTGGAACTAAGTGGTTATGTAACGTATACATTTATTTTCTTTGACCGTACCTTGATAAAAGTCCATCAGTCCATTCTCATTTTAGAAAGTTGAATTTGAAACTCAAGATGAATTGCGCCTTAGCGCTCTTATCTTTACATACATGGCAATTTTCCGCGGATCCGCGGAAATCCGCCGTTTTATTTCTTAAATTGATCATTTTTGTGAATCGTCTAAATCCGTTGAGAAAATTTTAGGGGCGGTCAGGTACCTTATCGTCGAGTTTTCACGAGCTCTCCCGAACAGTCTCTCCGTTTTCCGTTTGTAAACAGCCCTGCGATTGCACGTGTATGAAAGCTTCAACTAATCAGATCACTGAAGGCATTATTTGTTGCGGAAGTCTTAGCTCGATTATAAACGGCCCAGCGATTGGTTAACTACAAGCGATTGGACCAATCAAATTGCATGTAACATATTGTTTTACCTGATTCATGGCGGCCTGTTCGTCTCGCAAATTCATTGTTCTGGGATCGTTTTGAGCGGAATTATGAAATTTTTGACGAAAGATCAGGAGTCTTTAATCCTAGAAATTGACTCAAATGTCAAGAATAAATTCCGATTGGACTGGCTTGACAGAAAAGTCACTGTAAAGGTTAAAATTGGTTCCAAGTTCGACGAAGTTACAGAAGCTCTTGGACAATAAGCTTTGACGTAGCAGGCAAAGCTTATTGTGTGTATTGTAGTGACTTAATTAACTATGGCTCACGTGGATGCGTTGCACTGACAGATCATGCAACAAAAGGGAAAAAACATCCCGACAAAATCGCCATTCGACGGAGCAATTATCCTTTGGGATCGGCATTTTTCAA